CCTAGTTAATCTAACTATCGGATTGGAAGTCCAATTCGACCTCGGCGTGTAGCCGACTGCGCAGGGGCTAATTATAGCCTATACTTCCGATTATTACGGCCTACTTAACTTATAGTTAAATGCGGCAGCCTATGAAAATTCCCCGGGGGCTCTATGCTTGTAAGATCGCAGGGGAGCAGGGATCATCATTTTCTGCTTATCTCTTTCTTTCCATATTTTGATATTCCTCAAATAAATACAAATTTGACAAAATGTTCCAAATATCAGGCAAAATGTCTTATACTTACAGCCGCAAACTGAGTTCAAAAAAGATCGAGGCTTTGATGATCATGATAAAGTGACGAGAATCAATATGAGAGGAAAAGATAGTAATGAACGTGCATCTATATGTAGCAAAAGAGATTACGCTTGGATAACTTCTTTCGATACGTGACGGGTTCCGGTATCCCGTGAGATAGTGAATCGATGGCGAGTACCTAGTCATTGACTGAATACACATTACGTTAGTCTCACAATCGAGAATAAGTATTTCCAGAAAGGAGATGCATTCAGCGGTAGATGAGAGTTGTTAAAGAGGGTGGACCTTGTCCGGCTGAATTTGACTGCAGTAGGAGTCTTATGTTCAAGGTCTGCAAGTGATTGCAGCTACCGATTCCGGCTGCTTTCTGCTCCAGCAGAACCGTCTTGTCTGCTGCAACATAGCGGGGTGAACTCCGGTAGGGTGAAAGAACTCTGGAAATCTGGATGAGCACTTGAACAGCTGTTGTCTTCTAACTTGTCACGCACATGAACCGAGAGTGGCACTCAGTAAGCTCATCTGATATGGGTTTTTCCGTGTCTAGCCTGTCGAAATGTGCAGTCTCCCACCAGCAATGATTTTATTCGTCTATGTTCAGTGTATCCAGCTGCCACACAACTATAGCACTGACCCGCCTGTGGCGCGTGTCAACGCCACGAGGGCGTGTGTAGCCCACTGTTGAAGCCCAGAGGCTACCACTAGTCTCATCTTCTCTCACTCTGATTAAGTTGCCCCATTGTCGTGATAGCTTCAACCATCCATGGCCTTACCGCACGTCACGTAACCTCGGTTACATAATCACCGAGGCCCACTTCGCTCGCACCCTCTATATCAGAGCGAGCTTCGTACCTATTTCCTATTTCTAATAAACAACCGTTCTCTTTATATACGTCGATGCCCCTACAGTGACTCTACGACACCCATAGAATGTGCCTCTGAAGTATGTAATGCTGACAATGACTCAACGTGTTGCGTAAGAGTCACGGGATCAAGAACAGAAAGAAACAGAAAGAACTGGCCCGCAGATGAATATAGGTAGTAACGTTAATCCTGATCAGAATGGCTGTGGTTCAGAACCTCCCGGCATTGCCAAAGTTGCGGATGATACTCCATTGGCAATCCCCAATTTGCCACATCCAAAACCCCGCCAAAGAACGGAGCCTCGGGTGTTGTTGTGCTGGCCATGCTGACCACATCCAACTGCGGGTACTGTTCAATATCAGCCGCTGAGGTAACCCTAATAAATCCTGCTGCGTCGCAGTTGCTGCTAACGTTGCCCGGCTGGACAGCGGCTGTTGTTTTCATGGCGGTAGTATCTGCTGAGAAAAAGCTGGTATACTCTTTAGAGGTCATTGATCTTGTAGTTGGCACGCCATCGATAGGCGCGAATATTGAAACCTGTGCATTATGTGATGTAGGACCGATGGAGAGCGGGTTTGTCGCAAGGACAGCAGTGTCATTCAGGATAGAAGAAGCGACATCAACCATGATACGAATAATGTGATACAAGATGACCGATTGGTGATCTGGATCGTACTTCTGAAAGAAGGAGATCACAGCGCTGAGAAGACTGAGGTCTTGCGTGGCACTGGAAGCCATCTTATTCTGGAGAATGTTGACGAATAGAACGTCTGCGGACCAAGCTACCTGGTAAAGGAGGTATCTGGATCGCATTATTAGGTCGGGTCAGCTGGCTATAAGATAGTGCGGCTTACGGTGTATACGGATGTTCTGTCTGATGATATCCAAGGAGTGAAATTGCCGCTCGAGAGGCAGAGACGCAGAGAGCCAGAGAAGGACCGATATTGTCGGGTTGGATGCCTTCTCGATCCTCTAAGTATGGAAGACGGAACGCTGCGGAATGAATCGCCACCACCAGTTGAAAGTACGTGAAGTGCAGTGTCGTAAGACAAGCCATCCGTCTATAGTCTCCGTCTACAAGGCATTCGAAGCATTCAGGGTGAATCACCTCCGGGATGCCTCGCCTCCATTCTTCGAGTTCAGAGTCAAGACGAACAACCTGAGCCTCGAGCTCCGATGACGAGACTTTGGCGCTTGAGTACAGCTCTGACGAGATCCGTCCTTGTATCCTCGCTAGACGGACCTGTTGCAAAAAGAAATTGAGAGAAGCGTTATTGGGAAAGTGGTACATACTATACCCATCTGCTGGGTACTCTTCTGGTAGGTCGAGTAAGAATTCATCCTTGATAAGTGGGGGCTGGCCAATACGAAGCATAAGGTCATGGTCGAGAATATAAGCCTGCCAAAAAAGCCGACGACGATGAAGCCGATCTGACGGGCTCAAAGTAGACGGAGTGAAGGCTGTGCAAAAGGCTTCTGGACGGTGATAGCCAGACATCAGAAGAAGCTGAACAGCGAGACCCAAAAGAGACTGGGCAACATGGTTTTCGAACGTGAACTTATAGAATAGGACCTGGAAGATTCAGTATGGGCAATCTTCAGACGAAGGACGCGTTCAATTTACCATGGATAGGAGCGAGCCGATTGTCAATGGCGAAGGCGATCGAATGAGCACATTGGGAATCATGCCCAGAGCATTGTGAATGTATTTCTTGTAGACAGCCTTGTTGCGCATGCGACTTTGTTTGCGAAGGGTATAGGCAAGCATGACATTTACAGCCATCCACCAGCCAGGGTCTTCGATGCGTTGCCCAAGCAAATAGGATCGCATGGCGGTTTGTATCTCAGACTCCTGAAACAGCCTGATGCTCATGTTCGTCGTTGCCATGTATCCTACGGTTCACTTTAGTTAAATTTGGTTCCTCGTCATGCGACTTAGATGCACTACGATGGCGTCTTTACCATTCACGCAATCAGCAACGACTTGATGGTCGGGCAGTGGGTTATTCGTATCCTCAGGCTGCAGGTAGGAAGCAGAGTGCAGGCTTTGAAATTGATGTCGGAGGTCGTTCAGTGCATCGGTGAGTCTTGAGTCGCCTACCAGACGTTCGACCTGTGCTAGACCTTGACATGAGAGCAGAGAGCAGGCACCTAGACAGTGGTTAGTTTGTTACCGTGTTGCTGATGATCACGTTTCCGGAACTCGTTATATGTCAGTGAACGACACAAGGATGCGTGTTCACATGGTGTAGGGATCCCCGACTTACCTGTTGCGGAGATGACTTGCGGATGAGGAGCCCTCACATAATGCGCCATCCCCTCAGTGGAGGTGCTGGACATTGATATACGCTTGTCGGATTGTCCAGTCGGCGAATTCACATCGGTGGCGCTCCGACACAGCAGTGTTAGTCCAGTTGTCGAAGCAGAGACTGCAGAATCCGGTGGGTCGAGCGCAGTATCTGGCGATGATACATTTGATTCTGGTTTAATTTCGACCGGCGCGGCGTCATTGACCCGGCATATCGTCGCGGGTCGATTCTTCATTAACACCTCCTCCACTAAAAACTCCATTTGAGCCAATCTCTTGGCCGAATGATCGTATAGGCTTTTTCCGGAGTTACGTTAATAAAATTCCCCATGTTCGGAGTATCAGATAGGCAACCCAGTGGACACCAGGAATCACCATGACACACGTTGGAGGAACTGAGGTAGATTGTGTGATCAGGACTTACAGCCTTCGACGTTGTGTTGGGTGTCGGCCCTGAGGCCAGGTGCAATGCAGCCCAAACCTAAGACAGTGGGAGCAGTCTGGAGTTTTGTGATCGCATTTGACCTGCAAAGTGCGATACCAGATCGCCGGTTCACTGTTAGTCAATGCCCTTGGGTCTCATCTCAGGCGTGCAGGCGACCTGATGCTACTGCCTCGGCAGCAACTTACGACAAGCCTGGGTAAAGCTTGAGCGAATCACACGCTGTCTTCACTTTCACTCAAGACAGACGCATCGTCTACTGCCTGGAACAACCCGGACCAGTTACATGGAAAGTATAGACATACCTTGCGATGTCGACACGGAGTGCAAGCTAATGGACGAGGCGGACGATGCGCGTCACTCTTGTAGTTCGCAACTTCTCCATTGTGAAGGGGTTGCTGACGGCCTGGACTCCGCTCCGCGACCTCTCTCGAGTTGCCTCGTTCTGGGCTATTGTTGGTGCCTGATGTGGCAGGCTCTGATCCATGTTTGTCTGCCATTTTCGTACCGACTCTCCTTGATTGCACACGCTGTTTGATGCAATGGCCAAACTGAAATCGTTCGAAAATGAACTGTCGCTGGCTAGCTTTCTGAGTCGACGCACTTCAGCAATGGGTTGAAAAAAATCTGCTTGGCAGTGCTGGTGATTGTTGGCGATCGCTTCGTATACACGTTGCCAGGCACGCAGCTTAGGGGCGGAAATTGATTTTCTCCGTCTGTATGGACTGGACGCAAAACGGTGTCTACACCGGTAATGGACTTAGCTAAAATCCGGGAATAGTTGGGTCTAAGAGTACCGGAATGCACTTGGAGCTCATCGCAAACCTTGTTGGCATCCACAACATCATTGCGTCGGACTTGGGGCGAACGGATTTCGGAGAGCGTCGGCAATCTGTGATTCTCAAACTCCAAGCTTCCGTCTGGCTAAAGGCAAGACCCAGACAAGTCTGGATCATCACACAAATACAAATGATACATAAACTCTCTATTCACCTCAGCTTAACATGACTCGGCACATGTATTGACCTTGCACGTTCAGTTGTCCTTCGTTTTTTACCGACTATTGGCGTATAACCTAGTAGCCTTTCAATATGACCAAGAAGGTTCTTATTGTACTCACCTCTTGTGGCACAATCCCAAAGAGCGGCAAGCCCACTGGCTGGTATCTGGTAGGTCCCCTACGCTCTTGAAAAACTTGCTCCTCGCCCGAATCTAATGGACATCTTCAAAGCCCGAGCTCGCTCATCCATATGATGTTCTAAGAGATGCTGGAGTGGAGCTGGTCTTCGCGTCCCCTGAGGGCGGGATTGCACCCCTTGATCCAGCTTCCGTCAAGGTATTCGGCAACGATCCATCATCTCAGAATTTCCTGAAGAATCATCAACACACTTGGGAAAACACTGAACGCCTTACCATGTATGCTGGTAGGGCATCTGAATTCGACGCCATTTTCTTCCCAGGTGGACATGGTCCGATGTTCGATCTGGCTTTCGACCAAGGGAGTCTGAAACTCGTCGCCGACTTTGCCGCACAGAACAAACCTATTGCTGCTGTATGTCATGGGCCTGGAGCTATCGTGAACGTCAAGAATCACGACGGCAGCTATTTGCTCGAGGGAAGACACGTGACCGGGTTTAGCAATATTGAGGAGGGCAAGGCTGGATATACTTCAGAGATGAACTTTTTACTTGAGGATCGTATCAAGGAGGTGGGCGGCAAATATGCCACCGCTGATGCTCCTTTCGGAGAGATGGTAGTCACTGATGGCATTATAATTACTGGTCAGAATCCAGCGTCTGCCTACGGCGTTGGACAGGCTATTGTTAGAGCCTTGGGTCTTTAGTTCTTGCCAAAATGACAGTTTATGTATTTAACCATGGCTAGTTTTCTGTTTTCTTTTCTTATCAACTGCTTGCAGAGCGCCCTCATCACAACCAACCCCCCCCCCCCCCCCCCCCCCCCCCACCCACACAACCACAAAGCACAACCAAACCCACAGCACCCTGCCTTCTATCCATCTGTTTGAGATGTGTCTAGGGGGGCGGGGCGCTGGACGGCACAATTCTTTATTTTCTTTTTTCTTTTCTTCACAACAGCGTCGACCACCCCCCCCACCCCCCCCCCCCCCCCCCCCCCCCCCCCTCGAAACACCCATAAACGCGGCAGCAACGGCAGTGCTGCCACACGTTTGCATTGCTACGTGTGTTACAGTCAGCCTTGAGGCGCGAGCGGCTTCACACGACTTTTATTTCATACTATGCGCACTGCCAACAGTTAGTCTTATCGCAATATTGTCGTGCGAGACTGGAAGATCTGGGAGTCTTCTGTGCCAACTAAGCAGCCCGTCCAGATCTGCCTTACGCTTTGTTCAGTAAAACCTTGTCTGCTATCACCCTCGATATCGTAGTGCCTGAACCTGATCTACAAGAACGGGCCATCGGAACGCGACTACAAAATGTGATAGTAAGCTGAGTTAAAGCGGTAGTGTACTTTTCGAGGCTGTAGACGGTTTTAGCGGTGATAACGGCTTCTATGAAGTCCGCTCCAGGTTCCCCGCATGCAACCCACCCTTGAAATGTCGATGAATCGCGCGAAGCGCAAAACCACTTCACCGTCATTTTTTGGGTAATTGTCTTCGACTTTGCTCTAACAACGGGATCAGCCTCCAACGCGAACCGAGGAGTACGGACTGGAACGAAGCAGTAAAGACCGATGCAAGAATGCGTTGCCGTTTCCTTGGTTGTAGAATTATTATAATTACCGAGGGTTGTCCACGTAGACTACCTCATTTCTGGCTAAAATATTGAGAACACCACACACTAGCGATCATGGCCGTCCAGAATCAAGTTGACAACAGTATTGACCTTTCACTTCTGCATCACGTCGGGATGTTCATGGGTTTTATGATTGCGCTTGTCAGTACTACCACCACTCTCCCCTCTCTCGCCGTAATTTGTTTTTTTTTTTGCGTTTTCTTTCTCTTGCTTTCCAACTCTTGACCTCAACTCCCCTGTACTCAGCTGACAACTCGGGCAATTCTTCAGATGATCACGTACCAATTATGTCTCATCTTCTACAACCTATTTTTCCACCCTCTCGCCAAGTATCCGGGTCCCCGACTGGCAGCAGCAACTCCCTTGTGGGTTATTTGGTCCTACTACAAAGGCAAGACACCGTGGGATCTTTTGGATCTTCATAACAAGTACGGGCCTGTCGTCCGAACCACGCCAGATGGGTTGTCATTCATCAACGCCAGTCAGTGGAAAGAGATATATGGCCATAAACCCTCTGGAGAACTCGAGTTCTCAAAGGATCCGAAGTATCACGCGGGGTGGAAAGGAGAGCCAGTCATTCTCAATGCCGATCGTCATTATCATGGCTACATTCGCAAGCTTTTTGCTCATGGATTCTCCGAAAAGGCTTTGAGAGAACAGGAACCAATCCTGCAGGAGTATGTCGACCTCTTGTTTCACAGACTTGACAGCATCAGCCAGAGCGAACAGCCTATAGACCTCGTACAATGGTTCAACGTGAGTACCCGGAGATTCTAATGACTGGGCCCGAATGAGAAGGTATCGATGTGGTACGATTAATGTGCTAATCGAACACATCTCAACCGCAGTATTTTACATTTGACTTCATCGGCTACTTAAGTACGTCACGATAAGTTCCCACTCAATGTTCATTCCTACTTATGGTAATGCCTAACTTTGCGCAATCAGCCTTTGGCGAGTCCTTTGAATGTCTCGAGTCTTCCAAAATGCACACCTGGGTGAACATATTCTTCTCATTACTGAAGAATATGGCGCTGCATCAAGTCGTTGCCCGTCTGCCGAAGTTAGCTCAATATCCTGCTTCTCTGTTAATGATTCCAAGTCAAGTAGTGACACAAGTCGCGACTCTTAACACGCTACAAAAGGTTGAATGCCTTCTGTTCCGGGTCTCTTTGGCTTGACTATTGACACCACTCAGGAAAAAGTCAATCATCGTCTCAAAACACAACCTCCAGTGCCGGACTTCATGGAAAAGATGATTGCTGCACATGAATCTGGCAAAATGTCATATCACCAGCTAGAAGAAAACTCACAAATCCTGATTGGTGCAGGAAGTGAGACGACAGCTACTCTCCTTTCTGGTAAGCAAGATCTTGTTCCAATGCTTTGGCGTGTGATCAATTGACTTTCTTGCAGGTCTCGTTTGGCTTTTGCTCAAGCATCCACGGGTCTACGACAAGCTTGCTACCGAGATCAGGACGATGTTCGAAAGGCCTGAGGACATCACAATGATCAGCGTCAACGAATGTCGGTATCTGCTTGCCTGCATCGAAGAGACACTGCGCATCTACCCCCCTTCACCACAGCCTCATCCGCGTATTATCCCTCCTGGCGGTGCAACAGTTGACAATGAATTTCTTCCGGAGGGCACATTTGTCAGTATTCCGATCTATGCCGCCTCGAACAGTCCTATGAACTGGACCAATCCTGAGGAGTTCGCGCCGGAGCGTTGGATCGGAGAAGACGCAAGATTCGAGAATGATAAACGAGATGCGTCGCAGCCTTTTCAGTACGGGCCACGCAACTGCATTGGCAGGAATCTAGCATACGTTGAGATGAAGATCATTATGTCTCGACTCCTGTGGCACTTTGATGTCATGAACGCAACGGATTATAATTGGATGGATCAACGAGTCTTTGCAGTGTGGGAAAAATCACCTTTGTGGGTGAGACTTTGTCCCGCAAAACGCACTTAGTACAAGTGACAAGATGGGACCAATTTGCTGGCAGGCAGAAAAGACTCACGAGGGACACCAGGCTTTATCATAGATGATATCTCACGCCCTAAATAGACTGATATGGGCTTCTGCGTCAATCCGTCTTCGCCGTTATCTGTCTCATCAACCCTGAACAGCCCATACTTGTGATGTTCATCTACTTTCTATGCTCTTTTGAAGCCCTTCAGCTCTTTATAACGTGAGCATGGGTATCTGTGATATTGGTGCGATTCATTCCAATAAAGCATCTCCAAGACAGCGGCCTATCAACGGTGGCTGAAGCGCGTCGGTATGATGGACGTTTTGTGGATCGTGGAATGCTGTCTAGAGTGGAATATCAGCCAGACCTCGCGAACGAGGAGCAACCTGTTGTGAAGCTTGAGTAAGCCGCTTTTCTACTCCGCATAACTCTCGAGTGGTCTACCACGATGTGTTTTGACGTCTGACTCGCAAAGCATTGAAGGTGATAGTCGAAGTAAAAGATACAGTAAGGTGACAGATATGAAAATGCAAATCAAGTAAAGGGAATAAGTAAGATGAGGTATCCGTTCACAGTGCTGATAAGTTTTCCTCATAACAGCCAGGTACGTGATAGCTTTTGAGACGGTGCAGCAACATAGGTGGATATCAAACAGGTAGGCTTCGAGGTAAGTCCTGAAACCGTCATCCCCGGGATTTACATATGGGGCAAGACCGAGAAGTCACCATCAGGAGTAATTCACTTTTCCGGTCAAGGAGGGCTCACGGCTGTAGAGCTAAGATAAGGTAGGGGTTGAACTCACGACCCTTGTCAATGAGTATCATCGGACTATTCTGCTGTCGAGCCTCGGCTGCTCGAACGAGGCGGGGCTTGGACCCTTTGTGATTCTGCTGATGCACTAGCTTGAAGCCACTGACCATCAACTCGATAGGCTTTGTCTAGGGTAACAGGCTCTAACATCAAGCCAAAAGATGGCTGATACGCTGCCTGACAGGGACTTTGATCCTCAGCAGTATCAAACCGCAGTACCGACGCAAGATAATCGGTCATTCGACTTGTAAAGGACTTCGGGCTAGTCTGGGTCTTTTCGGAAGTCTCTTCTCGCCATTTGTGCGGAAGGCAACCCGTTTTAACGTGGTGTACCGACATATGAGACAATCACGACCTTTCTCCCCTACCCAATCAAAATCGAGATAGAATCCAAAGTCGGTTCCAGACTAATAAAATTTCTATCTGAAATGGCGCAAACTGCGAACCAAGAAGCGGACTGAAAGACCATACATACTCCTCTAACCACATTACTCACTGCCTCTCTCGGTGGTTGCACAAAGTTCGGAGAGTATGCATGGCATAGACGATACTAAGCACAGGAATTCAGTTCTTGGGTCCTGGACAATCTCAAGGACGAGGAAGTCTCCATGATATCCGGACTGAAGAAACCTATTGTAGCAGGAACGGACAACCATCGGGGTTCAACAAATTGCAACCAGTGGGTCATCTACACTGGAACCCTATGCTTACTTCGCTCGATCAATTCCTCAACGTATTTCTCAAGGGGGGTGGCTTGGACATCAGGATAAAGTTTCTTCGCGTCTAGATATCCCAAGTATGCAGCATGCTCAAGAGCGTTATCCCCTCGCACGCCCAGCAGGTTAGGCTCTTTCGCAGTAAGGTAGAAGGTTGACGCAGTCTGTCTCTTGACAAACGTGGAGTCCGGAGCAATGTGATTATCCGCTACCACCAGAATTTGCCCCCCCCCCCCCCCCCCAGGCCAAGTGAT